ACGAACAATTACATTAAATAATTTTTATATGATGTTGATCATATCTACAACGATTAACCAAGTTAATAGTCCAAATAATCTTTAAACTTGTGTTGGTATTTATGATTGCTCACTAAAGTTTTAAATACAGAGTTTTTATCATTAAACTTGTCAAGATATTGGTCATTACTCACTACCAGGACATTCATTTCACAATGGTAATGAAATTGGGGACATAGCAGATGAATGCACAAGTGGTGTCCACAAACTCACGCAAATTTTCACATAAGAAATGCGTCTTTGATTACTCATTATACTTTGAAAGATATCTTTAATTGCTCACTGTATTTTTAAAGACATCTTTGATTACTTGCTTTGTTTTAAGATAGTCGAATTTTGGCCACTGAACTTGTAAAAAAAAAGGAGGATGTATATAAAATTGATACTGCAACTTGGAGTCACTTGTAACCTTGTAAAAAAGCGAATATCGTGTACATCATCATAATTCAGCCAAAGAATGCATAATATATTGATTCTATAGAGGATGTATGTAGAATTGATACTTGAAACCTTGGAGTTACTTGCATGAGTTTAATTTAGCCCCGATTTGAGCCCTATTTTTCTCAAAATTCATTTTTCCCAAAACTCATTTTCAAAGATAACCCTACATCTCCATTTTTGGGCATGGATCATGTTCCTTCGCATCTACAATTTTTTTGCACACAATTCTAAAATATCCTTATAGGCTTTTCTCGCCAACCCACTTTAGAATATTCACTCCCTAGGCTTAAAATCCTAATTTGAATATTGAGATATATACTAGGCTAGTTATGTAATTTTCATTCATAAACATAAAGTTATTTCATATTGTATTTCTTCAAGTAAGGGTTTTCCAAGATTCTAAAGGTTTTTTTACTTTAATCTATTTATATTTGGGATTACCTTTGATAAATTATAGCTTAATCTCGTGTATTTATTGTTTTTTTTAGGTAAAACTCAATGATTGAAAGTGAAATTAGAAGAAAAGAACAAAAAATCGACAAAAATGATGTTTCCAAAGTTTGGGGACCAAATTGCAAATACATAATAGTTGATTCGAATGACAAAATGAAGATTGAAGATTACATAGGATCAATTGGACTTGAATATAATACTAAGGACTAAAACAGCATGAAAAATGATCAAATTAACATTAGAAGAAGTTCAACGAGATCCCAAAATTGCCAAAGCCATGCGTGCACATGGGATAATGAAGTTGTGTGTGAAACCCCAAAATCTATAGAACTTGAGTATGAGAATGTTAAACCACGCATATGCAGTGGTTTATACCATGCGTATGCATGGCTTTCTAGCTAATCGAGATTTGGTTTCCTTCTCTAATACAAATACTTATGGGAACCAACTTTCGACGTGTTACCAAAATATGCAGAAAATGAGGATGAAAGTGTTGAACCTTGCACATGTAATGGTTTATATTGAGAAGCGCATTTTTGTGCATTTATTTATGTCATATTACTAAAGTTTTATGTTGTCAAATTATTAAATTCTACTTGGGTTAATTTTCTTTTGTTTTTAGTTATGGATATTAATTGCACAAATGATGAACTAAATTGCACTATTTGAGAAAGAGGAAACCTTGGAGAGAAAATTGCATTAAATAGGCAATGTAATTAAGTGGACCTCAATTAGACTTGCTTTGGAATCAAAATTCAATGACTAATTGGACGTCTAATTTGATTAAACACAAGGGCTGAATTGATTATATATACGCACAGAAATCGGAAGCTGGGGGAGAGAATTAAAAAGGCGACTGGTTGTGAATTTGAAGAGAGAAAATGCAGCCAAAATAAGAGATACACGCAAAAGTCGGGAGAATAGAGAAAAGGGCAGATTGGCAGCTGGTTGAAATGATGTCAAATCACTGTTTAAAAATTTATTTTTTTGAAATAATGTGGCTCAAATAGGCCCTAATATTGTTCACTTGAAAATTAGCAATTTGAAAGTAAATTTAGTGAGAAGTTGCAACTTCAAGGCACACTTAATGAAAATTCTTGTTTAATGGCATGTTTGTTTAATTATTGGAGTTTTATGCTATTTTTATAGGTTGATGTGTCACATGTACTTAATATAAACTTAGCACTGGTGCTTAGGACATCATTACTGTATATATATGTGTAAATCTTCTATATATTTTTTTAAAAATATTGTGTCAGAAATATCTTTTGAAATTTTTTTTAGCGAACATTTTATTTTGATATTTTTAATGTAAAAAGTCAGACTAGGCCAAAGCCAAACCAGTTGGTTTGGGTCCAATTCGGTTCTATAATTAAATATGGAACCAATTGTTCCATTTTAAAAAAATTCAGTGGTACTTGATTTCGGTTGTTTCCCTTCCAAACCAGATGGAATTGGCCCGTGCCCATTCCTAAAGAAGGCTAACCATCTTAAAATATTTTGAGAGGATCGCCAAGTTTTCAATTGCTCCCTTGTTTCCTTAGTTTTTTTTTTCTATTCCACAACTTTAATTATGAAAAGGCAATTAGGTCTTTTACAAAATTTTATTTTCTTTCCAATTTTAAATATTTAAAATTTTGTCATAGATTTTTCATTTTTTGGGTAATTTCTTAATTTTTATGTGATTCCAATTACTTTATTTGTTTAAGGACAATTAGGTCTTTCGTAAGTTTTGGTTTTAATATGTACATTTGTTATTTAAACTCTCATTACAGCTTTATCTTTTTTGCATGACTTTTGATTGAAAATATGAGATATTTCATAGATGCCGCCGAACTTCCATTAGTCTAGGAGATCTTGAATATTTCTATGATGCTTTCAATTGTTTGATCCAAATCAGTGTAAGAATTTTGGATCATAATGATCAAGAAAGGCCATTCACTCAAAAACTAAATACAATCATAACGATTGAATTCTAAATTTTAGAAATTTTTTGTGATTCATTTAATTACAAAAAAAATAGTTAAATAGAGCGGTGATAAATATTATTTATAATAAGACAAATATGCGAAGAATGTGAATGTCACGATTTCTTTATCATCATCCCTACAAGCTAGAGTAATGACAAATATAGGTATTGCAAATTTTTTCTTTCATCCCTAGATTTTTGGCAAAAAAAATTCATTGTCCCAAACACTATATCATATTGCATCACAAACACTTTGTTGCAAAAAATAAAAGTTTATTGCCATAAGTTTCCCACCAAACAATATATTGGCTCCATGCTTTCCATCATGTTTTTTGCAACCATCTTTATTTTTTGTCACACTTTGATAATTCACAATTTTTCACACAGGCTTATATTTTTTTGGTACTTTTTTGTCACAATATTTATGACAAACCTTATAAACATATCGTGCTAAATCATCTATTTCAATAACTTTTTGTATGTCGCAAAATATTTTGTTGTGAAATAACAATTTTATTGTACTGGTATGACATGTGATTAATAGTATGACAATTTAATATATATCACCTAGAAAAAGGATAATGAAGGAGGAATTTAGGTATTGAATGGGTGAAAATCATGTTTTCTCGAGATTTTCTCATTTTTTATTTTATATCCAACAACTTTAATTATGACAGGAAAATGAGGACTTATGCACGATTTTATTTTTCTTTTCGATTTTAATTATTTAAACTTTGGTCATAGATTTATCGTTTTTTGGTAATTTATTAGGTTTTATTTGTTTCCAATTACTTTAGTTACATGACGACAATTATGTCTTTCGAAAGTTTAGGTTTTACTTCATACATTTGCTATTTAAACTCACATTATAGCTTTATCATCTTCTATATGACTTTTGAATGAAAATATGAGATTTTTCATAGATGTTGTTGAACTTTCATTTTTCTACGGAATCCTCAACATTTCTATGGTGCTTTCAATTTTTTGATCCAATTAATATTCATATATTGGAATAGATGATTTGTTGATCACATGTTTTAATGTATTTTCTTACGTGTCTCATGAACAAGGGCTTACGCGATGATTTTATCGAAACCGATTTCAAATCACCAAAAACTCTCATGAAATCATGTGCATATGAGGGTTTGCAACCAATAGTTTGTCTTAGTACCATTAGATGATCATAAGAGCCTAAGATTTGTATCGACCTGATTCTCCATAGTGTTCCAGCATATTAATAAAGCATCCTTAAATCTACTATTATTTATACAATTCTCTTTATGTAGAGGAATGGATATGTTATCATGGTAATTCACAATCTTTTATCTTTATTTTGATAAAGCATCTTGTGAATCACGCTATAACTCATATTTACTATTGAAGTCTTGAGCACAACATAAAATAACATAATATTATTGCTTGTTATTGATCACATCTACAAGGATTAACAAAGTTATTTAAGTTAATATTGCTCATTTTTTTCAAAATATGTTCATCAAATGCACATCTAATTTGTAGGTGAACGTAGATTAAAAACTAGGAATTGAGATTTTGTAAACATGTAGATGATGAAATTATGACTTTTTTATTTTCATTTCATTATATTGTAAATGTTTGAAGGTATACGTAATATTGATGTCGGTGCATGAAGTTAATATCAAGGACAACCTTTTTTGTATGACTCTTCTAATTTTCTTGTGTAAGTATTTTCATAATTTTGAATTATTTTGGATACATGTATCGCCTACAAAAATTAAACCTTTTAAATTTCTATTTTAGCCATCTCTATGCACTTGATGTTAATGGATTTTTTCCCTTTTTTTTCATAGCTAAGTTGGAAAATTGATAATCTTATGTTGACGAATTTTTTATTTCACTTGTACACGACAGTTGCCACTTCCCAAAAAAGCCAAGAAAATGTTTATCCATATGATTTTGTTTCTTATTGTATGAAAATTAAATGCCGCAATTTAAAAAAGGAAAGTAAACAATTGCTATTCTCTCAATAATCCCAAATTCTTTATTTATAAATAACATCTTCTGGAATTAAAAATACTGTATACAACACCATTTCACCCTCCGAAAATCATCCCTAAACATGACTAGGGGGAAAATAAAGCTTGAGTATATTGCCAATGATGCAGAGAGAAGGGCATCTTTTAGAAAGAGAAAGAAGGGAATAGTAAACAAGATTAACGAACTTTGCACCCTGTGCGATATACAGGCTTGTATTATAATCTATGGTGCCTATTAACCTCAGCCAACAGTTTGGCCATCTCGGCTCGATGCTCAGCAAATTATTTCCAGATTTCGGGAATTTCCAGAAGTGGAACAGACCCAGAGACTGTTCAACCAGGAGTCCTATACGATTCAAAGGGTTCAGAAGTCTCGTAAACAAGCCGAAAAGCTTCAGAGGATTAACAGAATAACAGACATGGAAATTCTGATGCACCAGTGCATGGCTTGTTTGTCCAGTCTGCAAAATGTCCCTCTAAGTGACATAACCGAAATGGGACGCTTGGCGGAGCAAAACATTCAGGACATCAAGACCCGAATGAAGGAACTGGAAAAGAACTGGGCTACAAATTTACAAATGGGTGAGACTAGCTCCACTCCTCCTAGGGATGACGCAGCTGGGCCCAACTTTAGGGAATTAAGTCTCTTTCATAAATCATAACCTTTTACTTTCATCTGTGTTTATTTTTGGATTAATTACAGTGGTTTGTTTTTATTCTTCCTTTGATTTTGTTTTGGCTATCGTGTCTGTTAATATAAAATTAAAATATTAAATTCATGAAATTTTTGAATGATGTTAAGTTCTAAATTTAGAACCCTTCAGTACAAATTAATTATAATTTTGATTATTGTTGCTTAACTACAGTCAGTGAGAATTCGTTAATTCCAGATAAAACTAAAGAGAAGAAATTTTATGCATTTTCAAATGATCGATATAGAAAGAATTTGAGATTAAAAAAAAATGTATGTTTGAAGTTGGAATAGTGTATATAAGCTAAAACTTACTATACATTTCCATAATTGAAGTCAAATTTACATATTTTCTACATATTCTATGTTGTATATTGGTTGTTCAAAACCAACAATGGAATGAAAAAAAAAATTAAGAGAGGCATGTGACTACATGGATTTGTACCATGCGGTCACATGGTACAATTTAGTGACTGTTGGGTGGCCGTTTCTTAATGTTATGGTTTCAATTTCGGTGACTTTTCACTCATTTTTTGACGCCATTTCACACTGCTGGTTGTGGCCTATATTTAGAAGATTAATGTTCAAGGCATTGATATGAGAAAACAATTTTGAGAATCATTCCAATTGCACAATCAAAGATTAAACACTTGCTCTTCATTCATATTCATTTTCTCTATAGTGTTCTTCAAGTTTTGGATAATTTTACTTTGTTCTTTGGTGAAATTCATCTCAAGGCTTGTTATAATCCTTCAAACCATTTGTCGGAATACCCTTAAGCATATCATAAATCCCGGAGGAGGGGGGGAATAATGTTTGAGGATAGCAATCCCGTGTTTAAGCCTTCGAAGTTGTTATTGATTATTTTTCGATTTCTTCATCTCATTGCTCCAATTCTTGCACCATTTTCTTTTGTTTCATCTCCATCCTTCCATTATTTTCCAACATTCTCAAATGTTATTTTTCTGCAATGGAGAGCGAGACAACAATGACAACAATCAAACTCATGAATCAAGACTTGATACGATTGGATCGGTTTGATGATACAAACTTTACGCAGTGGCAAGACAAGTTGAAGTTACTCCTTACTGCATTGAAGATCTCCTATATTTTGGATCCAGATTAGCGCCGTTATCAGAACCCGCAAATGGAGAGGCTGAAGCAATCAAGGCGAAAAGACAAAAATGTGAAGAAGATGAATTGATATGCCTCTTGTCACATACTCGGTGCATTGTTGGACTATTTATATGACTTATACACAAACACAACATCGGCAATAGAGATTTGGGATGCATTGGAGAGTAAATACAAAGCGGAAGACGAAGGTGCCAAGAAGTTTTTAATTTCTAAAAACTTTGACTTTAAATTTCTTGATAATATTCCCTTTCTTCCCCAAGTACACGAGTTACAAGTGATTGTCAACAAACTAAAGGCAATGAAGATTGAAATCTCAGAGACCTTTCAAGTAGGGGCTATAATTGCTAAACTCCGGGGTACTAGGAAAGGATACTGGAAAAAATCATGCATAGTTTTGAAGATTATACTTTAGAACAATTGCAAAAATATCTTCGGATTGACGAAGAAAAAAATAGAAGTGAAAACTCTTTGGAAGGAACTTCTAAGGCTAATGCGGTTGAAAAATTTGAACTACCTACGAAATCCAACAAGAGGAAGTCTTTAGGGAACTTGAATAAGTCCAAGAAGAAGACCAAATGAGGGGTTTTTGTGACTGGAAAATTTGGACACTATGCAAAGGATTGTAGACACTGGAAAAGAAACAACTTTGAAGGTAAAATAAATTTCATCCAAGAGGACAAAATTGTGGCCACCGTAAGTGAAATAAATGCAATCAAGGGAAAGGTTCATGGGTGGTGGTATGATACTTGTGCTATTGTACATGTATCATATGATAAATCTTTATTCAAAACATATTATGAAGTGGATGGAGACCAAGAGATTCAAATGGGCAACGAAGTTCGATCCAAGATCATTGGGAAGGGAAATGTTGATATTATCTTCACTTCTAGGAAAATCGTTACCCTTACAAATTTACATGTTTCGGATATGAATAGGAACTTAGTGAGTGATAATCTTTTAGGAAAATCGGGTATCAAATGCGTGTATGAATCTGATAAATGCTCTTCCTTAATGGGAAATTTGTTGGAGAAAGCTATTCTAGTGAAGGAATGGTCAAACTCTGTACCATTGACAAGAAAATGAATAAAATTGATTTTGCATATGTTGTTGACTTATTTTCATTATGACATCCTAGATTAGGACATATTGGTAAAAATAATATGAAACGTATGAAAAAATGTGATTTGATTTCATATGATGAAAATAAGAAATATAAATGCAAGATATGTGTAGAATTAAAAACGACTAAAAACCATACGAATGTTAAGAGAACTTCTAGTATCTTAGAATTAATCCATACCGCTATATGTGAACTAAATGGCATGTTAACTAGCAGTGGAAATAGGTATTTTATTACCTTTATTGATGACTTTTCTAGATACACATATATTTATCTGATGAAATATAAACATAGGCTTTTGACATGTTTAAGTTGTATAAAAATGAAGTTGAAAATTATCTAGGAAAGAAAATTAAAACTTTAAAAAGTGATAGAGATGGTAAATATTTTTCCAGAGATTTTAACTTATTTTGTAAACAACATGACATAATTCACCAATGATCTACCCTAGGACACCCGAACAAAATGGTTTGGCTAAAAGAAAAAAATAGAACTTTAGTAGAAATGATTAATGCCATGCTTATATATGCTAAGTTGCCCTTTAATTTGTCGGATGAAGCTTTATTAAGTGCATGTTGGATACTTAATAGGATTCCTTCAAAATATACAAAGGTTTCTCCTAACGAATTGTGGAAAAGAAAGAAAACTAAACATTGAATACTTCAAAATGTGGAGGTGTCTTGCTTGTCGCAAGAACACGAACACTAATAGAACCAAATTGGGTCCAAGAGGTATTAAATGTACCTTCGTTGGATATGTTAACAATAGCAAATCTTATAGATTACTAAACTTGGAGACCTATGTAATTATCGAATCAAGCAATGCATAGTTCTTTGAGGATTCGTTATCTTAAGATAATGAATCGTGGGAAAATCTTGACAATATCCCTAGCTCAAGTGGAGCATGTGATGACATGTCTTCTGAAGATATTGATGAGTCTAGTGACCAATAAAATAAAAAAAGAACTAAAGCTGAGAAGTCTTTGGGACCGGATGAAATTGATTCTCAACTTATCTCTTTTTACGTAGTAGAGGGAAATGGGTTGAATGTTGTATGGATAATTTCTTTTACTCTACAAGTGAAAATCGACCTAAAACGTATAAAGAAGCTATGGCTTCTTGTGATAGCATCTTCTGGAAAGATATAATTAAAGATTAAATGAATTCGATAATGTCTTATAAAACAAGGGAACTTGTCGATTTACCACCCGAATCGAAACCTATTGGATGTAAATAGGTGTTTAGGAGAAAATATAATGTTGACGACTCTCTAAATACCTTCAAGGCCAGTCTGGTAGCCAAAGGTTATCTCTAAAAAGAAGGAATACTCTCTTTTGACACATGCACCGGTAGCTAGAATAACATCAATAAGAATATTATTCTCTTTAGCTTCAATACACGACTTGCACATTCATCAAATGGATGTCAAGATGACATTCTTACATGAGGGTCTCGATGAGGAGATCTATATGGAACAAGTGAAGGGTTTGTTCTACCTAAAAACAAACATAAGGTGTGCAACTTAGTAAAATCATTATATGGTTTGAAGCAGGCACCTAAAAAATGGCATGAAAAGTTTGACTTAGCAATAATATCATTTGGGTTTAAATATAATAGCGTAGATGGATGTTTATATTTTAAAGTGTGATTATGTGACATTTATACGCTTGTATGTTGACGACATGTTGATTATAAATAATCACATGGTCGGTGTAAAGAAATGAAGAAGTTTCTATTTCCACATTCAAGATGAAGGATCTTGGACAGGTGGATACCATTTTAAGTATCAAAGTCACAAAGACTAGTGGGGGTTATCACCTAAGTCAATCACATTATATTGAGAATGTGATAAACAAGTTCAAACACTTGAACATAAAAGAGTATAGTAGCCCGATTGATCCAAGTTTAAAACTTGTAAAGAATGATGAAATGACAATTGCTCAATTGGAGTATGCTAGTGCTATAGGGAGTCTTATGTATGCAGTTCAATACACAAGACCAGATATAGCCTATACAATAAGTAAACTTAGTAGGTTTACTCTACAAGTGAAAATCGACCCTAAAAGACTTAGTAGGTTTACTAGCAATCCAACTAGGATTGGGAGAGTTATTGGCTACTTAAAGAAAACCAAGAGCTTAGGCCTACAATATACTAAATTTTCGGCAATATTGAAAGGATTTACCGATCCTAGTTGGATATCTAGTACGGGTTAAAGTAAATCTACCTCGGGATGGGTGTTCATTTTAGGAGGAGGTGTTGTTTATTGAAAGTCAAAGAAACAAACATGCATAACACCCTCGACCATGAAATTTGAATTTGTAGCCTTATTGGATATCGGGAAAGAGGTTGAGTGGCTCAAGGATCTCTTCTATGAGAGACCTTTGGAATCGAAGAATATTTCTTCAATACCCACATGTGTGATGTCAAGCCACATTAGCAAAATCATACAATGAGGTATACAATGGAAAGACTAGACATATGAGTCTTAGACATAACTACATAAGGAAATTAATCAATGATGGAATAATTTTCCTAGATTATGTAAGGTCAATTAAGAATTTGACGGATCCTTTGACTACATCTCTAAATAGAGATTTAGTAGCATCTATTTCAAGTAGGATGGGGTTGAAACTCCTTAACTAAAAAAGGTCAACCAATGACGAAACCTTGTCATTACTTAAAAGGTAATCCACGGGTTCAAAGGATAACAAGAAGTCATTGGATATGTGGATAGTTACAGCATTATTCAAATCCGCAATGATCCTATCCTAGTTAAAATAATGTTGGTTGTTATTGAAATTGGGGTTGAGCTTTAAGCTCTTAATAAAATTCAGTGCTAAAATACAAGTACCACTAAAACTAACAAAGGAACGGGAAGAACTTCACCTAAACAAATTTTGAGGTGGCGCCGCCTCAATTGAGAGTCGGAGTTTCTCTCTTAAAAGTTTGTTGAAAAGGATAAACGCAAGGCCATAATAGCGCTAAGCGAGTTATGAGGAACTTGAGAACACGTGATGCTCGTGTGTGTATTCTTACTGGTATTGTCACACAGAATAACTGGTTCAAAATTGAATGCTAGCTTTGATTTTGATATTACATTGTGTGAATTACACTATGATTAGATTCAAATCGAAAGATATTTAATCTTTATGCATGAGTATCGTATACTTTGAATATGAAACCTTTTAATTTTGGACAAGTGGGGGATTGCTGAGTATTGATTGTTCAAAACCAACAATGGAATGAAAATAAAATAAAATTAAATTAAGAGAGCCATGCAACCGCTTGGCTATATGTTGAGACCAAAAAGTCTCAGCATGAGTGAACCATGCGACCACATGGCCTAGGTGTCCCTTGCATGGTATATTGTGACACTATTCTACATTCTTATAAAAACTTGTGAAAATCGCCCATGTTTTGACCAGACTCTCGTATTTGTATAATACTCACCACCTCGATCAAATCTTACAACTTTGATAGCTTTTTCCGTATTATTTCTCTAATTCCATTTTGAAAATCTTGGATTTCTCAAATGTATGAGATTTATCATTAATTAACTAAGCACATCCATATCATGAGAAATCATCAATAAAGATTATGAAATATTTGTTCCCACATATGGTGGAAGGCAAAAGTCCACTAACATCGGTATGTATCAAGTCCAAAATACTATTACTCCTAGTTGAAACTTTCCTTGGAGACTTAGTTAATTTTCCTCTTATAAAATCCATACAAGTGTCAAAATCATAGAAGTCTAAGGAGGGAAGTATCTCAACTTTTACTAATCTTTCCATTATATCCATCAAAATGTGACCTAATCGCGTATACCACAACATAGAGGACGATTCACGAATTAAAGCCATTTTTTT